GGAGCACCTGTAACGGTCAAATTACCCTAGTTTAACATGCAGCCCTTTGTGCATAAGGAACGTATTACTTTCTTCTTATAGAACATGTCGTGTGGTGTTTGTAATCGTCTCTGTCTACAACCTTCTGTATGTGCTCTGCAAGGAGTAAGTTTTTAGAGACTCCTTCCTTGAAGGATTAGGTTGTAGCTGACCCCCTAGCTATGTCTGACGGCACAACGTTTGGATTTTTACGTTTTATGTTATATGTGCCAGTCATTTGCACTGGTACAGGAACGGATCAAGTTTGGGGTTCGGCCTTCCGCCTCTTTCAAAACCCCTTGGTTGTTCTTTTTGGTTGTCCAAGGTATTCTAAGCATTCTTCTGTAAAACCATATTTCTGAGGCCTCAAGAAACTGGCCTGCCTACCAATTGTCCAGGACAATCTAAGACTAAGATGTTATATCTGTATGCATTTTTGAAAGCTTATTTAGACTATACTTCACTATACACGCAAAGGAGAAGATGGTGAATCAGATAGCCACTGACTCCATGAGCACTGTAATCCCGTATTAATTACTGAAGAAGAGATCGAACAATATGTGGGAATGTGCAGGGTGCAAGAAATAGTAAAGTAATTCTTAACTTGTACACTCACCATTCACGATGATTATGATGACATTCAACCCCATCAGGACGTCACACCAAGCGATAAACAGCAGGTGTCACAAAGTGTCACAGTTCGGATAAGGATCACCCGGGGAAAGGTCCCAGAAGCCCCGTTCAACCCATAGGTTGGGTTATATTAGGATTCTTTCAACAGCCAGGGTGAGGTTTTAAAACAAAACAGAAATTGCGTCCCACACTGGGATGCAGTATTTGATCAATTATTCACCATTCACCTTTTCTGTAAAGCTTAAAGTGAATCCACCGCCCAGGTAGTTTAGCAAGAAAGAGCACATGTTCTGGCTTCAGTGGTGACACTGATAATCTAAACATATCTAAAGATATTTGATCTCCGCAATAAATCCACCCGCATACAATGGCTAACTGTGATGCAGTGATTAGTAAGGACTATCATCACAGCACTCTGGACAGATCCATAGGTGCTCCGATCTTCTCTCTAAACGATCAATGACGCCTGTTCTATGATGATTAATGAAACATCTCATCCCTTTAGTGAAATGTTAATTTTATTGCAGTTCCATGCTGCAGCCTCATGTCCATCAGTCTAGTCAGGGATATGGAGTCATATCCATTGGCGTCCTCATCGTCATGGTAACTGCTGCGCATGGCATTCATAACATTACTTCTGTCCAGTACTGGACCAGCCATGGCAACCACACTGTCTGCAAGATAATCTGCACACTCGTTCCCTTGAACACCCACATTAGTTGGCACAAAGATAAAGGTAAGGACAACCATTCGCGAAGTGCTTAGGGTTGCAGTCCATTCATATCTGATGAACCCAGCCTGGATTTTTTAAAGCATATTATTCATTGATTCACTAAGTATGCACGCGTGTAGGAACTCTGGCGTACCAGGCCATACCTTTGTTACAGCCAGTTTCCATTGTGAGGCTGCTAGTTGTTAATAGCAAAGGCGCCATTCATCTCATTGATTGTTTCCCCCCTGGAGCGTACTATAAATGCCCATGTACTTTGCTTGCCCCAAATTACTGATCCGTCTGTGTAAACTACATCATCACCTTCATCCGTTTTTCATCAGTCAGTGTTCTGACTAAAGTGTTCACAATGCCAGGAATCTGCTCTCTGCAGTTTCCATCCAGTGTGACGTGGGCTGTAATGTTAATGTTTGTAGCAGGAGGAATAGTTAGCCACTCAATTCTAAAATTAACGCCAGTAAGAAGGCCAACATGTTGTAGTAATTTTTCAGAAATATCCCATTCAACCACAGGGTTATAATTTGGATATATAGTGTCGATTAAGCTCGCAGAGTATATAATTTTTAGCTAATATGCAAACGTGTTCGATGGCGTCCTCAGCACAGCCCATCCACGATTTTTCTCTTCTGTCCTCCTTTTTTTGGTTTGAATAATTCCTTATGAAGTGGATGTCTAGGGCATGACTTCACTTTGAGGCAAACAGTGGCCCTAGATAGCTTGATACTGTTTTCCACTGTGGAGGAAATCCAAGAGGTATCGCATGGATTTACAGGAGGTGTCTCTAGTGCATTCAAGAATAAAACACATTGTCTCATTTAAATTTCTTTTTCAAACTCTGTTCATCTGTGTGGTGCTGAGTGTCATGATGGCCAGTGCATATTCAGTGGTGGAGAGAACTAACCCCTGATATAACATTACAAGTAGCCATTGCTCAAAGCTTGCAGCTGCTATAACTTTTATTGCTGAGAAACATTTCTTGGCTTTGGTTTTAATGTGGTATATGCATTTTTAAAAATGCTAATCATCTGTAAAATGTTAAACCCAGGTATTTCATGGAATCATATCACTCCATATCAGCGCCACAGAGTTTTATCATCGGCACTGGTGTTTTGAAATGGTTGTTATTTAACAAAAACCAGGTGACAGTCTCTTTTGATGGATTAATTGTTGCCCCTGAGTCACCAGGATGATATACACATTTTTGTTGTAGATCTGAAACTGTGATATCTGCTGGGGAAGATGGAGTGCATGCTTAAGTACCCTGAGTACTATGCAGGACAGGCACCACAGAGAAAATTTAGGGAATGGCTCAAGCTTTTAAAATTATTATAATTTTTATTGCAAAGTTCAATAAGATTTAAACACTGAGGCCCCTCAGAACATGGTGTGGGGGGAGGCCTCAGGGGGCTTAAGCTTTGTTCAACAGTGCAATAATAATAATAAAATGAGTGCTAAATGATACTTACACATTTATCATACTATGGCAACTTGTATAGGGAAAAGAAGCCAATGCAACAGTAAGGATTTCACAGGCAATTTAATTAACAGTAACTGCATATAGTGTATTTTCATGCAATGTAAATAACTCAATGTAAAGCTATCCAATAAAAGAATATGTATAGCCAAGCTTTTACAAAACAGGGAAAGATTTTCAAATGCTTTATTGTATATTTTAACACTAAAATCTTGTGGAAAATGTATCAGTTCACATAACTGCCAAATGTTCTATTATTTCAGTGTAAACATACATCATGGAAGAAAATGTCTGATTGTTGACTGAATTTCACTGAAAGGACTAAAATACTTTTAGCAAGGATAGAGATTTTTTTTAGAGGTCTCACCCTGAACTAAGTAATGTTTATGTATTCTTGTTTGTAACTGTATCACTGTCCATTTGTGTCATATGCTGATGAAGGCTTTTTAGCTGCAACATTCATATTGTGGTTTCTGATTGTGGTGTTGTGAGGCTGACTTGTTCTGCTTCTTGTCTGGGCTGATATTTTCTCTTAACTTATGCTGTTTATATTCAATTTAGATTAAACAATAATGCAAAGCTAACACTTCAAACTCCATAGCCATCCAGGTACCTCAGGAAAGTACTTGCAATAATCATTATGGGTGCCCTGATTATAACTTCTTATCTGAGCACCCAGGTGAACTGGCTTGTAAACAGCATCCTGTCCTGAAAGTTGAAGTATTTTGACCATGTTAAACATCATGGTGGCTTGAAGAAAAGAGTGATGGAGGGTAGTTTCCAGAAAATGAAGCAGAACCAGACCTCTCTGAAGGTGGATAAGACACTGAAGATGCATTGGCTATGAATACCCATAGGGCTGTGTAACTGGTTAGAGCAGCGGTTCTCAACCTGTGGGCTTCGAACCCTCTTTTGAGGGTTGAATTATCCTTTTACAAGGGTCGCTTAAGACCATAAAAAACACACATTCACTGTAGTTATGCAGTGAAAATAATTTTATGGTTGGGGGGTCGCCACAACATGAGGAACTGTATTAAAGGGTCGCGGCATTAGGAAGGTTGAGAACCAGTGGGCTAGAGAAAGAGAGACTTTCAGGTGTGCTATGGCAGTGACGTTCTATAAATGACCTGCTGAGTGATGATAACGTATAACTTCTTAGAATGTTTACGTGGTTTTGCCCTTTCAGACTGACATCCAGGATGTGGCTCTTTAAGCTGCAAGAGTGTCAAACATTCACAAAGCAGATGGGTGGGGAAGGAGGATGACAGTCAGACAGTCAGGCTGTCGGTCAAAACTAACATTTATGATTGTCATTAAATAATTCATTATGTTAACAAAATTTAAAACAAATACAAAAAAGAAAAATTAAGGTAATTTTCTCATTTATATTGTTACACATGATGTAATACGGTGTTCTTTGTACACAAACTATAAAAAATGTGAGCAAAATAGCATGAAAATGTATAGCAATAACTACAAATTGAATGACTTTGGTATGAATAATTAAACTAGAGCAAAACAATGCAGGCATATTTTTATTTAAACATTGTCATCAACAGAAAATCAGTTTCAAATTTATTGCAGAATTTTATTGCTGTTTAGGTAAAATATATAACTAGAGAATAAAAATGTTAAATGTTAACATTTGAGCACTAATTGTTAAATTAAATATGCAGTAAAACCCCATTAACATGACTCCCCCCCCCCCCCCCCCCCCCCCTCTCCCAATTTTTTTTAAAGAGTTTGTGTTATAAATATTTGTCCTAACCAGTGAATAGATACATTGTGAACAATACATCCCTGTGGACAGGGCCAACTTAACAGCTTTATGGGCCCCCGGGCAAACCAGTGTACTGGGGCCTTTATGAAAACCGCTCATAGGAATGACATATAGATGGCCAATTAGCATGGGACCTCTATGTTTGTGGGACCCCCATGCATTAGGACACCCCTGCCTGTGTGGACCAACATTTTTTAATGTTAACAAGTGTTCCACTTAAGCAAGTTCTTGTTAACAAGCTTTTACTGTACTTGAAATATTATTGAACTATAGTGGGACTAGCTGGCAAGTTTAATTGCATCTTGGAATTGGTAAGGCAAAAAAAAAAACTGTTTTTATTGAAGGTTAATTCACACTGGGCAGTATTACTTCCTCCTCCATACCGTTGCATGAGCAACTGTCCACTGATTCTTTCGAGCAGTTTCTCTGATGAAAAATGGAATGTTGACATCTTCTACTAGTTCAAAGTCTGAGCCTAGTTCTCTTTGGAGACCTTCAAAGCCTGTTACAGCTTTCCCGTTTTGATCAATGTAGCCTCCCAACCATAAACTCTGGAAAAAATAAATGATAAGTTATATTAATATTGCTAATCTTGTTAATATTAATTTACAAAAAGGAAATGATAGCGAGATAAATAAAACATGAGGTTACAGGAAAATAAGCAAATAGAGTAGGGCTTCTATAATGGGAATTCATTTGTTCTTGAGATTGATTTTTAGCAATGAATATTTTTAATTAGTTCATCCACATCCCGAACAAACATAGTGTAAAGGAGATTAATTAATTTCAGACCCCCCCCCCCTCCAAAAAAAAATAAATTTACTCTTAACAAACTGTTCTTAAGTCAAAGTCAGAATAACAATAATCAAATTTATAAAATAGATACAGAATACAAAAGTAAAATGTGAGAACATAATTTTTTCTGTGAGATTTCAAAAATCCATATTTTAGCAACATTATCAATGTTGCTAATCCCTGTGTGGATTCTGGGGTCCTAATGTAAGGAAAACAAGAATAAACTCAATGCCTTTCTAACAAGCATGTCATAGGAGCCAACTAGCTGGGGGCATTCTTTAAAGTCGGAGTGCATCTACCCGACAGACAGAGAACCAGCAGTCTGCATACAGATAAGCCAGATCTGTAAAACAGATGTGCATGCAATGCTGAGGTACTGGAATAACACTAAAGTAATGTGTATCCATGATTAGTGGAGTCTGTCGTAGTGACAAACATTTCCTGTTTTATACCCTCATCATCACCAGTTTCTTTTACATTCCTTAACAACTGCAGCTGAGAGGTAAGTATGTCCACTTCATATCATATTGCAGCATTATTCAACTAAGTTTATTCTCATCTGAGGGGATTTGCTTGATGTCCGAGGGCCAGATTCGGTCCATCGGCCACCAGCTGAATAGCCTGTCATATTGTATGTTACATTCTTCGGCTTGGCTCAGGGCTTTTGTCTATCAGAGGTGAAATAAAAATCCTAGCCAGCAAAAAGTGTGAAAACTGTTTTGGCAAGTAGTTTTTATTTCTATAAGCCCAAGAAACCACACTGCACAAACCAGTATTGGCACAAATATAGAAGTTATAGATGAAAAAAAATGAAATTACAGTAATCTGTTTCCTAAAAGGAGTCTTATGCTAAGAAAGTGTCTACAGTAATTTGTTTGCTATGGGCAGTTTGCTAGACTATTTACTAAATGTTTTTTATTTTATGTTATCACTATCAACGCTGCCGCACACTGGCATGTGTGCTCCAATGCAGCAGCCACACTCCAAGGTACTTCTACTGACTGTTTCCCTGAGAGGTTGGCTCTAACATCTCCTACCTCGGCCTTGAAGGCAGCATAGATGTGCTTTGCTACAAAATCACGCAATCATGCTAGTGTTAGAGATTCGTCATTATCCACTAGCCCAGCCCATACAGCACTGATGATATCCACTGTCCATGCTTATTCCACATGCGTCGGTGCATTGCTTGCCAGTTGGTCCGCTCGCTCATTACCCTTTACTGAAACTGCATTTACTTAAAAAAGAATAAAACAACTTCTCCTTCTTCTTCTGCCTTTAAACTTCAATGCAAGTAATGGCCTTCAACCAACTCACACAAAGTCCTTCGTAGACAATATGCAGCTTAGCAAGAATTAATATTTAATTTCTAGGTGATCTTCTGATACTATAGTTAATCTAAGACTTCCATGGTAAGACGTAAAGTGTTAAAACAAACTGTCATTTGCACGTTCCAGCTGTAATGATTATCTTTTATTTGTCAAAATTTTTAATCATGTAAATTCTGTAGTAATGCACCTGACCAGATACAGCTAAATAAAAAAATTGTGCAATATAGTGTTTGTGTCCTCATTTGTAAAATTTATAATCGGAAAACATTTTTTAAATATTCAACTTACCTTATCAGTAAACTCTTCCAGCCAAGTATATGGAGCAGTGATCACCAGGATAGATCCTTTCTTCGACAGAAGTTTTGGCAGTCTCGACAGGAAGTCCTTGGGATGGTGGAGCCGGCAGATCAAATTTGCAGCCAGCACAATACCAAACTCACCTAAAGATGATCTCAAATTGCAGGCATCTCCCTGCTCAAAGCTCACAAGATTCCTGTTCTGAAAATGAGATATCAAGAAAGAGGATGACCCTTAGGCTGCATACACTTTTATTAAGTTTTATCAAAAAGCGAGTTATGTTACTTGTTTATTTAAACCTGTGGCTCAGTACAATCAATTTTGACAACACATTTTTTCTTTAGGTCCGCTTTAGTAAAATATTAAGCAGTCATAGGCAGGATGTGATGATTCCTTGGGTAAGCCCAGTAACACAGAGTCATGTGTTGGCTCTGTATTTACAGAAGCCTCATTGGATGGCAGGGAAAGCCCATGTTCTGCCCCTGCCTTGCCTTGCTTGGCTGCCCTGGACAGATCTTCTGGGGCAACACCTGCAGGAAAAGGTATAAAGAGTATACACAAATGAGTCCACTGTGTGCCCCATTAAACTAACCATTAAGGCTTACCTGGTACACATGCCCAATGAAGTCAGATGTGTCTGCCAAAAGGCACAAATATCGCAGCTATGCTGTTAACAGGCACAACATACTTATGTCCCTTGGATGAATGGTGAAGAAGAAGAAGAATGAAAATAAAAACATGTTAATACTTACAATGTCTTTGGAAACTGTTGCTACTGCTGGAGTAACAATATCACCTTCTTGAACTAAACTGTACGGCACTTGTCCATCGATTTTCAGTCTGTTGGCTGCATCAACAAATGATTGGCTGTAGTCAATACCAATAACGTCCTGAATTTCTCGGGCTAGTTCAAATGAAGATCTGCCTACAGCACAACCAACATCTAAAGCCCTGCTTGGAATGCCATCCTGCAATTAAAAAAATTTACAGCACTGAAATATAGTTTTAAGACTAAAAAGGGTATTTAAAAGCAATGGGTTCTACAAACATTTTACTGGGTTTGAGCCTATGCTACGTCGTTTCTCTCCCCATATGTACACAAAAATGTACATACAATTTTAAATTGGCAAATCAGCCATGAGCACATGTATACTGGTATCTGAGACAACAGATCACATACTCAAAGACTGTTCCAAATACAACATTTGCAGGCAAAATGTCTGGCCAAGAAGACACTTGGGGAAGCCAAACTTTACGGGCTGCTAAGCGAATTACAAAAGACAGTGATGTTCATACTAGAGACAACATTGCAGATATAGATAATTTATTTCAAACAAACAAAAGAAGTTTCTCTCCAAAGAGTGGCTGGTTGTTGGTTGAAAGGCACTGAAATGCTGTGCTGTGGTTTACAGCTAAGCAGCGATATGGAAAAACATAAGAACACAATTTTAAACAAGAATTAAAACAGAATTATTTCCCCCTGTGGGTTCTGGGTCAGCATTGTGGCCTCTAACAAGTATGCCGTAAAGGTTGACAAATGAGGGATGTTTCCCTCGAAGTCAGAGTACAGCTACCTGAGAGGCGAGGAACCGACAGTCTGAATACAAATAAGCCAGATCTGTAAAATGGATGTTTATGCAAAACTCAAGTTCTAGAGCAAGACTAAGGTCCAGATCTGGATTAACAACCAAAACTTTATGCCAGAGTTTACAGCCAGTAAACATGAAGAAGAAGAAGAAGAAGAAGAAGAAGAAGAACAGGAAGAAGAAGAAGAGAATTAACAAGATTAGGATTCAATAATGAAATATTTCATTATAATCTTTTTATGACACTATAGTCACATAAGGCTTGTAGTCTTCCATCACCTTCTATCCTTGCAAGTGTTTCTTCTTCTTCTTCGTTCACTGGCTCTGAATTCCGGCGGCAGGTCTCAGTAGATCGTTCATTTGGACTTTTCGCTTTTACCTTGACCTGAGTTTTACATTACAACCGTTTTACTGGCTTTTGTCGTTTCCTCACAAGTGTTTCTATATCATGGTTGGAATGCAGTTTAGCATCTTTGGCCTCACTCATCAAAGGTTTTTTTTCATTGTCCTTGCCCCCCTCAGTCCATTTGTTTCCCATTTAACTCTTTCATTCCTGCAAGGACTAATGTTCAAGGGAGTTAGGAATAGCTATACTAAACTCATGGGTATACTACTCCCAGCAGAGCTAAATAATCAACCCTTGCAAGAAACAAATATACTGTCAGAGTTCTTCAGAGTCATACACTAAGCATGAAATGTAAAAATATACATAACTTGTGGACCTGTACATGTGAATAACACTCAATCATATACAGTGCATTGTTACGGACAGAGAGAGTTAAGCACCTTTCTGCTGATCCTATAAGTTTTTGTAGCACACTTCTTTTTACAGGACCGGGTAGCTGGTCCCAACCCTATAAAAGGCTTTGCATTCACCTTTATTGGGTCCAGGAAATATGCTGGGAATAAAGGTGGTCATGTTCCAGAACTTGTGTTTTGTTTTCAATTTACTTATCTGGCTTATTTGTATGCAGACTGTTGGTTCTTTGCTTTTCAGGCAAATGCAGTCCGATTTCGTGGAAATGCCCCTAATTAGTTTACTTTTACAACTTTTTTGCTGGGGACTATTGGATCTATTTTGATTTCCTCTAAATCTACAAGGGGATAGTAATTATTATAATTGGGATAAATAAAATATAATTATATGTATGTATATATATATATATATATATATATATACCCGGTTTGTTAGTGTAGTTGGCTAAACCTCATTTTGCGGTGACTGGGTGGCGAACTTCTTGTGGTCCAGATTCACACCCGGGGGTGTGAAAAGCCACATTTCTCCAAGTTTTACCGTATCTATCATGGAATCAAGGCCAAAGGGTTGCGATATCCATAATACCGAGCCTAAGGGTAAACAACTCATGGCTTCTGGATACTTAAAAAAAATTATATATATATATATATATATATATATATATTGGATATCTATACTTTAATATTCTTCTTTCTTTTCTTTACTCCTGGAATGCCTTGCGGTGTCAGGGCAGGAAGCAATCTCTGGAACAGGCCCTTCTGTTCACTTTGAATAACATTTTGGCTATCCTCCGAAAAATGGCCACATATTATGGCAGCCAAAAACAGGGTCTCAGTCACATGAGATGCGGAAGCTGCTGCTCGTGAGTCCCAGCCATCTTGTTTAGCCCCAATCCACGCCGCGTATAGCAGCGTGGGAGATACTACTCGGCGGTAGCGGTAGTCGCCGGAAGTGCAAAATTTAAGTAGCCGGAAGTCCGCAACTTACATGTGACTGAAGCCCTGTTAGGGCGTTTTTGTGGCCGCCATAATATGTGGCCATTATTCGGAGGATAGCCAACATTTTTAATATTTTTGGCGACCTAATACTGGTTAGACTGTGTGTTAATTATATAAGAACATTATGAGATTGTAGATGTTAAATGTAATATAAGTGTGCTTTTTAAAATATGTGTGCTTATTAGATGGTACTGTTATCTATATTTGGGAAATTCAAAGCTACTTGGAATGCCATATTTATAAAACTGTAAACAACACATTAATTAGCTACATATCTTGACTACCTACATTCCATAAACTGCTTGCCGGCATAATAAAAACTTTTCCCCTACAAGTACATTCTAACACAGCAAATAAAAGAATAATTACATTATTTAACATTAATATTATGTATTAAATGTCAACTAAGCCGCCGCAGCGCTGAATCACAGACCTCTGCCTTATAATGTTTGAGACACAGTTCTGAAGATCTTTTAGGGAAATCCAGCGCATCTTTCGGACCAAACGGATAAGGGATCAACTGCTCGGGGCTGCCGTAGTGAAAAACTAAATATTCGCCCAGAAGTTTCTCGGATTCGTAAACGTTTGATGGTGTACGAGTTGCACATTTCCGAGCCGACTGCGAGTACAAGCGATAGACGGAGTAGGCAGAAATGCCCACTGAAAGAGCAACAGCTGGTACAGCAAAGTACTTGTGATCAATTCCGAATATCTGCGCCATTCGAGAGGATTGTTTTTCTAATATATTGCACGTAAAATATTGTCAACTTCTTCGTGTGGTACGGTTTCTGGGGTCTGCTATCTCAGTGTCAACAGTTCAACTGGGGATTAAATTCAAATAATTTTCAAGCCATTTTACTTGTTTTTGTATATATATTTGCCTCTTTTATCTAAGTAGTTTTAAAATATTAGCTAATCTTTAAAATAGTAATATAGGACATTCTATATACATCGCAAAATTTAGTAGCTGAAAGGATATAATTAAATCTGATTTTTCCATTTGGGTAGTACATACATTTATTACAATTCTTGTAATGCATGTACATTGTCATAGCCATACTGGCACAAAACAGGGACTGATGATTAGTGTCCACTTAGTGAACTTTTGACCCCAAATACCTGTGGTCCGAGTCACCACTACGACCTTCTCCTCCCCCATAGGCGACGGAATACGGAGCTCAGATCCCTTGAAGGAACCGGGAGCTCTCTTGAACGCCCCCCCCCCCTTTCCTCCAAATTTTTAGGATAGGAGAACCCCCCCCCCCCTCCCCCCGATAATTGTTTTGAGAGGAAAAAGATAATTTTTAATCACTTTGGAAAATTGGCTTTGAAAATATTTGTCAATACATTTCATATTATTTCAAGTGTTGCATTCTGTTTGTCATTTGGCATAATAAAAAAACTGTCACTGCTGTCTATTTTACCACCTTTTTAGGGCAGTGTAGACAAGGGGCGGGGTGGGGGGGGGGGGGGCTGATCATTTAGGGCCTCTTGGCTAGTGTCACTTACGGGGAAGTCTTTGGTAATAAAGTGGTACAAATCATCTGTTTACCCACATAGCTCTCCACTGCATAAAGAAAGAACAAACTTTATAATCAAAAGGGTTAGAAATTGGGCACGCAGGCCCTTCTTTCATTCATGATCATACACACTCAAAAGTACCCACGTATATATTTTCTTACATGCTCATACATGCACAGCTTAGGGGGCTGAGTGGTCTCAAGGCATGGCGTCTGCCTCGAGTGCTGGAGGTTCCTGGTTCAGGCCCCAGTGTAGGCTGGGATTTTTTCGCGTAGACTTCTAGTAAATTCTCCTGGTCTCTAGGTAGTAAGATCGAACGCCCGTAAGTATTGTTGCGTACCTAAAAAAATCAATTGGCAGTTGGAAATCGAAAAGAGTAGCCAAACCGGCACAATTTTGTTAAAAGTCTACCTTAAGTATTTCAGGGTCCTCACTAGTGCTATGGAGTTGGTGCTCTGCGCTGAGATTATTCTCACCCAGGCTTGAGTTAGAAGTGGAGAAGAGCACTTGTGGGTTACTACCCTTGTGCCATGATGTTGATCCGTTGTTAGAACTAAACACACATACATATACACCCACATGCATACATCCACATACCTCCATACATACATACCTCCACACATACATACATACACACACCCACCCACCACACGCACACACACATACATACTTTATAATCAAAAGGGTTAGAAATTGGGCACGCAGGCCCTTCTTTCATTCATGATCATACACACTCAAAAGTACCCACATATATATTTTCTTACATGCTCATACATACACAGCTTAGGGGGCTTAGTTGTAAAAGTCAACTAATTAGGGGCATTTCCATGAATCGGACTGCATTTGCCTGAAAAGCAAAGAACCAACAGTCTGCATACAAATAAGCCAGATAAGTAAATTGAAAACAAAACACAAGTTCTGGAACATGACCACCTTTATTCCCAGCATATTTCCTGGACCCAATAAAGGTGAATGCAAAGCCTTTTATAGTTACAGAAATTGCATATATCTCTGCCATTGCCAGTCCCAAGCTCGGCTGAGGAAAGAGGAGGGTTGGGACCAGCTACCCGGTCCTGTAAAAAGAAGTGTGCTACAAAAACTTATAGGATCAGCAGAAAGGTGCTTAACTCTTTCTGTCCGAAACAATGCACTGTATATGATTGAGTGTTATTCACATGTACAGGTCCACAAGTTATGTATATTTTTACATTTCATGCTTAATGTATGACTCTGAAGAACTCTGACAGTATATTTGTTTCTTGCAAGGGTTGTATATTTAGCTCTGCTGGGAGTAGTATACCCATGAGTTTAGTATAGCTATTCCTAACTCTCTTGAACATTAGTCCTTGCAGGAATGAAAGAGTTAAATGGGAAACAATTGGACTGAGGGGGGCAAGGACAATGAAAAAAAACCTTTGATGAGTGAGGCCAAAGATGCTAAACTGCATTCCAACCATGATATAGAAACACCTGTGAGGAAACGACAAAAGCCAGTAAAACGGTTGTAATGTAAAACTCAGGTCAAGGTAAAAACGAAAAGTCCAAATGAACGATCTACTGAGACCTGCCGCCGGAATTCAGAGCCGGTGAACGAAGAAGAAGTAGAAGAAACATTTGCAAGGGTAGAAGGTGATGGAAGACTACAAGCCTTATGTGACTATAGTGTCATAAAAAGATTATAATGAAATATTTCATTATTGAATCCTAATCTTGTTAATTCTCTTCTTCTTCTTCTTCTTCCTGTTTACTGGCTGTAAACTCTGGCATAAAGTTTTGGTTGTTAATCCAGATCTGGACTTGAGTTTTGCATAAACATCCATTTTACAGATCTGGCTTATTTGTATTCAGACTGTCGGTTCCTCGCCTCTCAGGTAGCTGTACTCTGACTTTGAGCGAAACATCCCTTATTTGTCAACCTTTACGGCATACTTGTTAGGGGCCACAATGCTGACCCAGAACCCACAGGGGGAAATATTTCTGTTTTAATTCTTGTTTAAAATAGTGTTCTTATGTTTTTCCATATCGCTGCTTAGCTGTAAACCACAGCACAGCATTTCAGTGCCTTTTAAGGGCCAGTGCTGAGAAAAGTAATTGGCATCATGAAGTTTTGTGATTGTCGACATCTTCAACCAACAACCAGCCACTCTTTGGAGAGAAACTTCTTTTGTTTGTTTGAAATAAATTATCTATATCTGCAATGTTGTCTCTAGTATGAACATCACTGTCTTTTGTAATTCGCTTAGCAGCCCGTAAAGTTTGGCTTCCCCAAGTGTCTTCTTGGCCAGACGTTTTGCCTGCAAATGTTGTATTTGGAACAGTCTTTGAGTATGTGATCTGTTGTCTCAGATACCAGTATACATGTGCACATGGCTGATTTGCCAATTTAAAATTGTATGTACATTTTTGTGTACATATGGGGAGAGAAACGATGTAGCATAGACTCAAACCCAGTAAAATTTTTGTAGAACCCATTGCTTTTAAATACCCTTTTTAGTCTTAAAACTATATTTCAGTGCTTTAAATTTTATTAATTGCAGGATGGCATTCCAAGCAGGGCTTTAAATGTTGGTTGTGCTGTAGGCAGATCTTCATTTGAACTAGCCCGAGAAATTTATGACGTTATTGGTATTGACTACAGCCAATCATTTGTTGATGCAGCCAACAGACTGAAAATCGATGGACAAGTGCCGTACAGTTTAGTTCAAGAAGGTGATATTGTTACTCCAGCAGTAGCAACAGTTTCCAAAGACATTGTAAGCATTAACATGTTTTTATTTTCATTCTTCTTCTTCACCATTCATCCAAGGGACATAAGTATGTTGTGCCTGTTAACAGCAAAGCTGCGATATTTGTGCCTTTTGGCAGACACATCTGACTTCATTGGGCATGTGTACCAGGTAAGCCTTAATGGTTAGTTTAATGGGGCACACAGTGGACTCATTTGTGTAGTCTACTCTTTATACCTTTTTCTGCAGGTGTTGCCCCAGAAGATCTGTCCAGGGCAGCCAAGCAAGGCAAGGCAGGGGCAGAACATGGGCTTTCCCTGCCATCCAATGAGGCTTCTGTAAATACAGAGCCAACACATGACTCTGTGTTACTGGGCTTACCCAAGGAATCATCACATCCTGCCTATGACTGCTTAATATTTTACTAAAGCGGACCTAAAGAAAAAATGTGTTGTCAAAATTGATTGTACTGAGCCACAGGTTTAAATAAACAAGTAACATAACTCGCTTTTTGATAAAACTTAATAAAAGTGTATGCAGCCTAAGGGTCATCCTCTTTCTTGATATCTCATTTTCAGAACAGGAATCTTGTGAGCTTTGAGCAGGGAGATGCCTGCAATTTGAGATCATCTTTAGGTGAGTTTGGTATTGTGCTGGCTGCAAATTTGATCTGCCGACTCCACCATCCCAAGGACTTCCTGTCAAGACTCCCAAAACTGCTGTCGAAGAAAGGATCTATCCTGGTGATCACTGCTCCATATACTTGGCTGGAAGAGTTTACTGATAAGGTAAGTTGAATATTTAAAAAATGTTTTCCGGTTATAAATTTAACAAATAAGGACACAAACACTATATTGCACAATTTTTTTATTTAGCTGTATCTGGTCAGGTGCATTACTACAGAATTTACATGATTAAAAATTTTGACAAATAAAAGATAATCATTACAGCTGGAACGTGCAAATGACAGTCTGTTTTAACAGAGACCAGGGTAAATTATAAAAAGTCCACCTGAATAAGTCCTAGCCTTCACCGGTGCCTGACCCCGGGACCTCTAGCACTCGAGGCGAACGCCATGCGTCGAGACAATTGAGCCTCCTCGATTTTCTTGTTTTGGCTATGTATGGTCATGGCCTCTGTGTTTTGTTGGAATTAATTTAAATGGTATGTTGTTTGCAAACTTTGTTAATAATTAACAATGTTATTGCCAGACCTTGACAAACAACGAATAAAATAGACAGAAAAAAAAACGAGAAAAGAAAATTACAACAAATTTTACAAATATTTCAAATAAATGATAATCAGTTCAGTCTTACTCTTACCTGGTGTGTTGTAATTCCACCTTTTGCGTGAATAATACGAAAAATTTCTGGCTGCAATCAAATAATTAAATGCAGCAGACACAGCATGCTATTTGCATTTCAAAGCAATTGAAATTCATGGCATAGAATAATTTCGAATTTAAACTTTGATT